ATGAGGCCTAAGGTAACAAAGAGATAAATTAACCCCAATCGAAAATGCTAAGTGTCTTTTTTTTTGTTTTTTTTTTTTTTACTGTTTATAGGTCAATCTCATCATATTAAACGATTTTAAGATAAAAACAATCAAACCTACCTTGACTGCCCAAAAGTCACATGACAACAACAAGATAATTGTCACCATACAGGCAATAAAGCTGCTGCTGAACAATTCACAGAGAAGATAGACTATAATTGCACTGACTCGAAAGAATAAATGGAAAAATGATGCCACTGGGTGTCTGAAAACCAAAACATAACAAAAGAAATGCAATTACATTTTACGACAGATACTGCAGATGTAGATGAAAATGTTTCAGCCACAGAACCATGCAGAGTCTTGTCAAAATAAAAGGTGACTTGAGGAAGAAGCAAACAGAGTACCTCTCTTTTTTCCTAAGTCCCATTATTTGACTAGGCCCTGCTGTCACAGAAAATACACTATATAAACATGACTTTATACCTCACTGACTATAAACTTTCACAAGATACATAACAAGAAACCTTACCAAGGTTGGAGAAATAAGGGACACTATACTCTTAGGACTGACTCCTATTTTCATCTGCCTAAAAAGCATGCCCTCAGAATTCCCAGGCCCTCAGAAATCAGGCATTAAGACAAAATACCCATCAGGCAGAATTGGTGTTTTATTAACAGCATCATTGAGATATAACCACATGCCATACAATTCACCTGTTTAAAGGGTATAATTCAGTGATTTCTGGTATATTCACAGAACTGGGCAACTATCACACAATTTTAGAACTTTTTCATGATGCCCCCCACCCCCAAAAAGAAATCCTATAGCTGGGGGCAGTCACACCCCCATTTACCCCAATCTCACCCCTTCTCCAGCCCTCGGTAACCACTAAGGTACTTTCTGTCCCTGTGGATTTGCCAGTTCTGGACATTCCACATAAATGAAATCATATAAAATGTGGTCTTCTGCACTGGTACCTCTCACTTGGAGTAATGTTTTCAGTTCAGGTAGAGGTTGACTTCATTAAGTGAATTTCTTTAGAGAGCACTAAGTTTGGAACTGACATTTGTTTGGCTTGATGTTTTCATATTAATTGATACAAAAGATACAGTACTGAAACTTTCACAATAAATCCAAAATGTAATGTATCTTTAGAAACTATCTAAAAAACCTGTGTGTCCTTGGTACAAAAGTCAGAATTAAAAACACCAGTGTTCAAATAACTGGCTTTGCAGATCTGGAAACAGTACTGAGTAAAATTCCATGTCAATTATTCCCAGAGAAAACGTGAGATGTCTTCTCATCTCAGACTGAAAAGCAAACTGGCAGTACACAATCTTCACCAGCACTCTCACAACCACTCTGCCCGGAAACCCAGTGCTCGCACCCGTCAACAGAAAAACAGCACCAGAGGCTAACCCATCCCTTACAACTTATCCTCATACCTGATTTTGGATTTTTTCGATCTGTTAGTTGTCTCCTCTTCCGCGTCAAACAGTGAAACATCTTCAGTGTCGTCATTACTGTCCTGAGAGGAAAAGTAAACACTCATGAAACAGAACGAAATTCCGTCCTCCATGCCCACTCCATGCAAGGCAGCAAGGTAGTCAACACGGAAGACAATGGAAAGACACGGTCACAGCCACCTGGAACTCACAGCCCAGGCCTCTGCTATCACATCACCCTGGCTTTGCTATCACTATGTGAAAACACCTTTAGTCTTGTAACTTATCCTGTCTCCGCGCCCCGGCCCTAATCCAGCCCCCACCCCAGCACGGTCCATTTCACCCTCCCATTCAAGGCAGGAAGCATTCCGCGTTGTTCGCAGCTCTTTCCCAGGGCCTAGGACGGTGACTGGACCACAGTAACCCCTCAGTACGAAAACAACACCTACGATAACCTGAGTAGAAGTGTAATCTTTCCGAAAACAGGGAGATATAAACGTAAGGGCTGTAATTAGCCCTGAAGGCAGATGTGGTCACGGGAGAGGACCAAGCGTCCATCACCTCCAACGCTGCTTCGACGACATAAACTTCACTGCTAGGCCGGGGGGAGGGGGGCGAAGGGGGGCAACTCCTCTAATTCCACGTCCAGGGCGGCGGCCCCCTCCCCTCGCCCGTCCACACTCGGCGTCGTCGCTACCGCCCCCTTCAAACCCGGCAGGCCGGGCCCCCCCAGGCCCTCACCCAGCAGGCCCAGCCGCCGCCGCCCTCTCCCAGCGCCCACAGCCCCTTACCTGCTGCAACATGACGGCTCCGCGCCAACCCCACTTCCGGGAGCCACGTCAACGCCGCAGCCGCGGGGAGGGACCTACCCGACGCAAAAACCTCTCCACCAGCCAGGAAGAGCCGAAGTTAACAGCGGAAACCCGGCCCCACTTCCGCATCCGGGCTCTCGGGGGGAGTAGTGAGTGGGGTGGGGCGAGCGTGGGGACGGAGCGACTCGGGGCGGGGCGGGGCTAGCGAGTGGGCGGGGACTCGCCGACAGGGCCAAGCAGGAGCTGAAATTAACCGTGCAGCCTAACCGAGAAAGCTTCATGGTTTATCACATGGAGATGTTGCTTGTACTTACAGGGTGTCCTTCCCATCAGTGTGGATGGCCTCAGGGCAGATATGGGGGTGGAGGGTGATTATTCCATAGTTTTCGTTTGAGTGTTCTACGATGATGTGTACAGCATTGCTTTTGTACTTTAAATGGTGAAAACAATTGAAAAAACAAATGTGCACTTACCAATTATCTAACTGACCCCAATGTTCTTTCCCTTCCTCGGGAAGGTGATGAAAGGGTGTCCTTACAAGGTGGGTACCTACTCAATAGGAGATGTTATTACTGTTTTAAGTTTAGCGGCTAAGGATGTGGTCTTGCTCCTTGAAGGAGCTAAGTTCAGGGACTTTGTGTCTTCTCTGAAACTGGGATTGTAACAATGTTCTATCTGCTAGGCCTGTGTGAAACTGCTCTTGGAAGACTCGTGGAATAATGTGTAGAAGCACGTTTCCTTAATTGAGGGGATTCTTTCCATACAAATCACAATTTTGTATGGCTATTGGCCAATGCTACTTTACACCTATTATCTTAATAATGGAGAAAAAAATTCTCCAAGGAGAGAAAGGCTGCCAAACATTAGTATTCATGCACTTGGAGGTGAAAGCAGAGGCTGGGAGCAGGTGTCCCGTGCATCTAGTCTGCCATGCCAGGATTTTGGTGGCCCACCCAGTGTATGGGTTGTGGGGTTGGTGTTTTGTTGTTTTGTTCTGCTACTGTTTGAATGGTTTCCATCCCACGGCCATGCTGGGCTAGTGGAGGGTAACCTTTTTGGATGGGGCTTGAGCTCTCTAATGGGCCACAGGCCCTTTGCATGCTTCTAAATTACCTGCCTGGCCCCTCAGCAGGCTTAAATAGCAACATCGACACATGCTATCAGTGTAGAAAGGGTCAGTTTGGTTCAGTTCAGTCGCTCAATTGTTCTGGACTCTTGACGACCCCATGGACTGCAGCTCGCCAGGCCTTCCTGTCCATCACCAATTCCCAGAGTTTACTCAAACTCATGTCCATTGAGTCAGTGATGACATTACTTTGTCAACAAAGTCCATCTAGTCAAGGCTATGGTTTTTCCAGTGGTCATGTATGGATGTGAGAGTTGGACTATAAAGAAAGCTGAGCACCGAAGAATTGATGCTTTTGAACTGTGGTGTTGGAGAAGACTCTTGAGAGTCCCTTGGACTGCAACCAGTCCATCCTAAAGGAGATCAGTCCTGGATGTTCATTGGAAGGACTGATGATGAAGCTGAAACTCCAGTACTTTGGCCACCTGATGCAAAGAGCTAACTCATTGGAAAAGACCCTGATGGTGGGAAAGATTGAGGGCAGGAGGTGAAGGGGACGACAGAGGATGAGATGGTTGGATGGCATCACCAACTCAATGGACATGGGTTTGGGTAGACTCCAGGAGTTGGTGATGGACATGGAGGCCTGGCATGCTGCAGTTCATGGTGTCGCAAAGAGTCGGACACGACTGAGCAACTGAACTGAAATCTGCATATAAGTTAAATAATCAGGGTCACAATATACAGCCTTGACATTCTCCTTTCCAGATTTGGAACCAGTCTGTTGTTCCATGTCTAGTTCTAACTGTTGCTTCTTGATCTGCATACAGGTTTCTCAGGAGGCAGGTCAGGTAGTCTGTTATCTCTTTAAGAATTTTCCACAGTTTGTTGAGATCCACACAGTCAAAGGCTTTGGTGTAGTCAATAAAGCAGTAGATGTTTTTCTGGAACTCTCTTGCTTTTTCGATAATCCAACAGATGTTGGCAATTGGATCTCTGGTTCCTCTGCCTTTTCTAAATCCAGCTTGAACATCTGGCAGTTCACAGTTTACATACTGTTGAAGCCTGGCTTGGAGAATTTTGAGCATTACTTTGCTAGCGTGTGAGATGAGTGCAGTTGTGCGGTAGTTTGAGCATTCTTTGGCATTGCCTTTCTTTGGGATTGGAATGAAAACTGACCTATTCCAGTCCTGTGGCCACTGCTGAGTTTTCCAAATTTGCTGACATATTAATTCTTCTCCCTCGGAGTTAGCCCCGAGGAAACACAATTTGAGGGCTCCTTTTTGATCCTTAATTGAACTTACTGTGCTTCATCAGGCTTCTGTATGAAAACACCAGGGGACTCCAGTGCACAATTCTGATATAATCCCTTTGGTCCATTTGCTAGAAGAAACGACACAGGAAATTGGTAGCAATGAGTGGTATTAAATTTCCAAAAACCACTTCTCCATCCCCCATCAATGAAACAGGGTTTCCATGCATCTCAGTGAATGGTTTTCAGTGGGAATACAGATACCAATCTCTTAGTCTCTGTTTTCTTACTTTGATAAGTATCAGTTCTTTGACTTATAGGAAGATAATGAAGAGTCCCCATGATAATTGCCAGGGAACAGTTGAAAACAACAAAACAAAAGAGGCGAAATATCAACATATACTTGGTTTCCTGTTTATTATAAGACAGTGTAATTTCCCAGGGCTGGTTCAAATAAACACATTTTGACCAAGTTCAGGGGCCGCGGTTTTCCCCTGCTTCGTAAAGTTGTCGATGGGCAGGCCTTTGATCTTCCTGATCCATGAAGCTCTGCTGGCCTTTTCTGGATCGACCACTCCAACTGGCTTTATGGCCTGAAACTCTTTCATCCTGGCCTCCTCATATTCTTTCTGCTCCTTCACAGTCAGCAGCATGAACTCTGTGTTCACTCGTAAGGGGTCAAGGGCAGAGTAGAAGCGGGGCCGTTCTTTCTTGGCAGCCTGGGCTGCCGGGCCCATGGGCGGAGCCAGCATGCGGTTTGGCTTGATGACCTGCGTGCTGGTTAAGGGGCTGAAGCTGCGCACTCCGTCAGTTGAACTAGTCGCCTTCGAGCCACCACGGAACCTGGGGCAGATAAGCACCGGCTGGGGGATGGTGGACTGCACTCGGGGGCCGTGTACAGACTTCTTCAGGTTGGGCTGAAGCTTCTGGATTTTGAGGGGAATACTGGTCTGCTTCACTTCTATGGGAGGAGTGCTGAATCTCAGTCGGTCAACTGCTTGTTGGACCTCTTGGCCCTTCAAACTCAGGACCTTCCTTGGAAATGGAATAGAAGGTCCCCAGACATCGATGATCTGGGCCTGGGGCCTCCGGGGATAGGCAAATTCCCCAGAATTATGGGCTTTCTGCAGGGCATTCACGGTCAGGAGGAACTGGTCAGGCGACATGGGAATGTTCCAGGACTTCTTTGAGCGACTGATCAAGTCTCCCGAAATTCCCAGATACCTTTGTTTTGGTAATTTCTCCACATCATCTGCTTTTTCCAAAAACAGAAAAGAAAAGCAAATCAGTGTTCCATGAAAACCATTAAATACTCATGCATGAAAATTAAATCCATTCTAACTATTATGCAGACTAAGGTCGCTGTTGCCCAGCCAGCGACACGCCACCATCGTGTGAGCAAAAATCCTCTTATGAGACCAGCAATCACAACATATTTAACATGAGCTTTTAACAGATATGCTAACAGATTTGTGTCCAAGTGTGCATTAACATCTAGATACACATATTTTGGAAGGAACATCTCTATGTTCCACACATTCTTGAAATTCCCCTGTGGGAATGAACTTCACACCCCATTTATGGGCCTTATAAATTTTTTAGTGAATTGTTAGTTGCTCAGTCATGTCCAACTTTTTGCAACCCTATGAACAGTAGCCCACCAGGCCCCTCTGTCCATGCGACTTTCCAGGCAAGAATACTGGAATGGGTTGCCATGTCCTCCTCCAGGGGATCTTCCCAACCCAGGGAACGAACTCTCGTCTCTTACATCTCCTGCACTGGCAGGCAGGTTCTTTACCACTAGCACCACCTGGGAAGCCCATAAATTTTTAGTAACATACATAGATTTTTAAATAAAACTTGTATAGCAAAGCTTGATCTCCACTTTATTATAATCAAATTTGATTCCAAAAGATCTTTGGATGTTTCTTAGAATCAAAACTGCCTTCAAAAAATATGTCTCCACTGCAAAATGGAAACTATCACATGGCCAAAAAGCAACTCCTGACAGGAGATCCCAAAATGTTTTGAATGATAACAGGTCCAAAAGCCACTGATAAGGACAATAGATTTATTCTAGCACACTGGTGGCTCAGTGGTAAAGAATCTGCCTGCCAATGCAGGAGAAGCAGGTTCGATCCCTGGGTGGGGAAGGTCCCCTGAAGAATGAAATGGCAACACACTCCAGTATTCTTGCCAGGAAATCACATGGACAGAGCCTGGCGGGCTACGGCCATGGGGTGGCAAAGAATCTGACACGACTGAGTGATTAAACACTTTCACACTTTTCTGTGTGGCCTCAAGTTAGTAGGGGACGATTAGGGGAAATCAGTCACTAAACCAATACCACAGTCACTCTTAGGAGAAGCTGGGCATTTTATCTGTCTGAATCAAAGATAAGCAAAGTTATTGGCCTGGTGAAAAACTGGACTGAACAGAGAGAGAAAGAGGGATTGAATCCTGTCACACTGATTCAGAATAAAGGATCACCCGTCTTCTGATCTCTGGCGACAACAGGTTTTGCTTCCAAATTCTCCTGCTCGGCACCCATGCTGTTTGCTTCCTGAGAACCCAGTCTCTTCCTGCCATCTTTCCAGGGTGACTTTGGCTTTCCTAGACTTGGAGGTGTCTCCATTAACACGCCTAAATTAAGATTGAGGAGGAAACTGTAGTAATTCTGTGATTCAATCAAGGATGACTACTGGGGCATAGCTGATAATTCAACTGATCTTCACCCAAATTATCACTTTATTGTTTGATGTTTCTTGTTCCTTGAAGCTAGGCAGTCACCTGGAACCGAAGGTCCATCTAGGTCACCTGCTGACTGCCCCTGCCAACCTGATTTCCTACTGATTATCAAGCTTTAAGTGTTATCTGAAATTTCTAGTGCTCTGTCCTAGCTGATCATTTGTGGTATAATATGCTTGGGGGTGATCTACTGATCTTGTATTTTACAGGTACGCATGTTATCAACCAGAGGTCTAGAGAGAAGAGCACAATATATCTTGTCTCTGTCCTAAGGAAATAATCATGTACTATATATTTGGAAAGTGAATCATGAACTATATGTTTGGAAAGTGGCTTCCCAGATGGCTCAGTGGTAAAGAATCTACCTGCCAAGCAGGACACACTAGAGATGCAGGGTTGATCCCTGGATTGGGAAGATCCCCTGGAGAAGCGAATGCCAACCCACTCCAGTATTCTTGCCTAGGGAAATCCCAAGGACAGAGGAGCCTGGCAGTCTACAGTCCATGGGGTCAGACACGACAGAGCAACTAACACAACAGCAACGTGTGTTTGGATCAAGGGCACGGAGGAGGGTGTTGGGAGCTTGTTTCTTATTTTAATGGCAAGTATGAAGGGCTAGTGTCACCTCCTGTAGAGAGAGTCTAATACATTTGGAGATTAGGCCTTGAAAATAAGCAGCTTCCCTTGAGCTGCCTATTAGATTGTCATGTCAAAGAGAACGGTTCCCACCTGCCCTAAAGAACTGGGATGTACATCATTAAGAAACCATTGGCCAAAATATCCCACAAAGAAGCTGGTCCTGGCAGCCCCTTGCCTGCTCCAGGGGATACCACAGAGGCTGCCTGGATTTGGCTATCTCACCTGTAGGTAATCTGGATGCCCTCAGGAAGATGCGGGACCTGGGAGGTTTGCTTAATAGGGACTCCTGGGCTGTCTGCTTGCTGGACACAGAATCTCTTGGACTGTAGACCTGGGTGCTAGACTTGGAGAGGACTTCTGCAAAGCTGTTGTCTTCCCTGTCCTCCTCTCTGTCCTTCTTCTTTTGTTTGGTTCGCTCCACCGAGTACTGCCACTTGATATTCTCAAACTGGAACAGGAGGATGTTGCTCTCCGTGTTGATCACCATCCTGGAACCAAAGCAACATGACTGCCCACAAAAGGGGACTTCACTGGTAGTCCAGTGGTTAAGACTCCACCTCCCAGTGAGGGGGAGCGGGTTCAATCACTGGTCAGGGAGCTAAGATCCCACACACCCTTAAAAAGAACATGGAGGCTGCCATTGCCCCAGCTTCCAAATATGCATTAGGACTACTGTCCCACTGGATCCTGCACCAAGAGATCAGTGCTGGGGAAATGACCACACAAACAAGGTGGTGTAGGTTGCTGCAGGGTCTAGAGCAGAGAAAGGTAGCAGGCCGTGCAGCAGAACTCATTAGCTCTGTAGCTGTTTTTTCTTTAAAAATGAGTTGTGAGCAAAGCACACATGTCCTGATTACTTCGCTTCTCAAGTTAAAACATTTTTAAGTGAATTTCTGTTCCTGGAGTAAGTGCTAAGGACCTAGGTACCCGAGGCAGAAAGCTTAGCTACTCTGCACACAGATGTCTGGAAGTTCACTCCTTTCCTAAGCACAGCATCCAAATGCCACATGTCTATTGTCATGATGGGATGAGAAAGCTCTCTAATGGGGGAAGTCTTCAAGCCCTCGCCGACCTTCCACCCCAACCTTTACTCCATCACTCCAGGATCTCTGTACACAGTCTATGTCCAGACAGGACATTTGTATTTGGAAACCAGGAGGGTTTCCATATTCCCTAATCCCCCCTGAACCCAGGATCCCCAACATTATCTCCCACCCACTGTTCCTGGGGTTCACAGCATTCACAGGGCGCTACTCCCCAACCCTGGCTCCTAGGTCGCCTATAACTGTAAACAAGAGATAGAAATGCTGCGTGCAGGCTCCTTTCTGCTCTGAAAGGCTGTAATTTTAAGACTGTCACAGTTAGCATAAACACTCCATACAAGTGACTGGTTACGGTAGGATACGCTGGAATGGAATCAGGGAACCATCCCAGTTAGAAATCTTTCAGACTTATTTTTACTCAAGCTGACGTCTCTCTTTGGATGTCACGAATGAGAAAAAGGTCAGAGGTTACCTCTCTTTATGGCTTTCTGACTTCATGACTGAAAGAGTATTCATTTATTGAGCCTTATTACGCAGAAGGAAGGCAAAGTAGTTCGGAGCAACTAGGTGATGTCTCAAGTGAGCCTGGGCTAGAATTTAAAAGTCTAGTTGGGTATTTTTACATAATATCATGTGAACCTAGTGTATAACAACACAGTGCTATATTCAATTAGTGCTACCATGGTTCTGTTTCTGTAAACTCCTCTGCTCCCTGGAGAAGGGAAGAGCCACCTACTCTAGTATTCTTGCCTGGAAAATTCCATGGACAGAGGAGCCTGGCTGGCTACAGTTCATGGGGTCACAAAGAATAAGACATGACTAAGCGACTGAGCACACACCTCTCGAGCACACCTACACACACCTCTGCTCAGGTCTGCCCCACTGGACATGGGGCCACCTGCCAATGCCACCCCAACCCTCCTGCAAGTCTCTTTGCATCAGAAACAAGACACAGGGAGCTGAGGAGCACTCAGGCTGGACACGGGATCAGGGGGCCAGGTGGAGGCTGCCTGTTGGCAGAACCAGTTCCCTGCGTCAGAGCTGTATCATGCCCATCACATGATCAGATCTGACCCTGGGAACAAATGAGCCCCTGAGCCCATCATCCACCGCAACCCAAACTGCAAGTGAGCACAACCTGTGCTCTCCTGCTGCCAGCAAATCCAGGGCCAGTGTCCCAGAGGAGGGAAAAAGAAACCATCTAAACAGACTCGCTCATGACCCTGACCTCCACACCGACCACCCACCTGTTGCCCTGAATAAAGAAGGACAGCACAGGATCACCTCTGCCATTGGCTTTCATCACCTTCAGACAGTTCCCGTTTAGGAAATTGTAAATGCGGATCTTGCCATCGGCACAAGCACTGATGACCCGGAGGAAGAGAAGGGCCACGTGGAGAACCTCCCTGGAAGGGAACAGAGTGACGGGCAGTACCCACCTTCCAGCGAACCACTCGGATGTGTCTGCAGTCAGGGAGTTTGGTGTGTGGTTGGAAGGGGGCTGCTCATGACTGTCCTTGAAGTGATGTTTGCCATCATTTTGTGATTCTGGATGTAAACCATTAACCTTCAAGACACAACTGTACTCTCTCCCCTCACTGTTACTGTTCCTATTGCAGTTACTGTTCCTACAACTTGGTCACAGCGCCACAAAGCAGAAAAACAAAAGGGCTTATGTCAAGATTTTTTTTTTTTTGGTCAGATATATAGATGACTGTGCTTCTCTCTTACAGTTTGATTTCTAGCTATCAGACGTCTACAAATGTCATGCTCAGAATTATTTGACGTTTTGAATCTTTTAAAAAGTAGCATTATTATATAAATAAAGAAAAAACAGACGGGAAAATGGTTATCTTTATAAGAAGCAAAAACCTGGTATTTGAGCAGGTTCTCTTGGTCCTTAAATTAGTGGCTTTCATTCTTTCAGTGAAACATCCCATGGGAAAACTGTACCCAGCAGCTGAGATTTTTGAGTTCTCTTTTGTGATTACCAGCAGGAGAAGAGGGGGGGGTTGGGAGAAGATTTAGATAAATGCCTCTAACGAAATCCCCCTGACAACAGTTGGGTCCTAGCTGGGCTCCAGATAAGTGGAGTATTCAGATCTGAGAAGTGCCATTACCCCACTGCTATTAATGCTACTGAAAAATGGAACTTGATGTCACCACTTTGTTAGACCTTGTGTGCAAAGCAGCTCCATCAATCTCTGCCACCTCCACCCATCCAAGTCCATCCATGGCCACATTCATATGTTACTTTCTCTATAAAGCCATCTCTCATCTCCACTTCTCCTCTCACCGCACTCATATACATAGACTTCCAGTATATTGTCAGATCCTCTTGGGTACAGCACTTGTCTTATTCACCTTTGCATGCCCAGCACCCAGCACATGGCCCAGTCCCATAGAGGGTCCTCAATAAATATGACAAAAGTGAGTGTTGGCTCATGTTTCAGTGTATGATCATTGCTAAGTTGTGTTAAAACAATGATATCCAACATAAGGAGTTGGGATGGGCAAGTACACACTGCTCTATTTAAAATGGATAACCAACAAGGACCTACTGTATAGCACAGGGAGCTTTGCTCAATGTTATGTGGCAGCCTGGGTGGGAGGGGAGTTTGGGGGGAGAACACATGTATACGCATTCTCTATATACGACTGAGTTGCTCTGTTGTGCACCTGAAACCACCTCAACATTGCTAATCAGCTATGTTTTTGTTGTTGTTTAGTTGCTAAGTCATGTCTGACTCTTATGCTTCAATAGACAATAAAAAGTTAAAAAATAAATAAAAGAATGACATCCACCACATATCATCTGGACTTGGTCAGATTCCAAGGTGACCAAGGTACCAGAGTCATACTGAGACTTTTCAAGGCTCCAACAACTAGCAAAACAAAAATAACAAAGACTTTGAAACACAGAAGACATCCAAAGAACAGCAAAGAACCCAATGTGGCTTGATGTATCAAGTGATGAACACATGAACAGATGGATAGACAGATAATAAATCTAAGGTATAAAATATATGTAAGAAAGTTCAACAAAGTTCTCATTTTTTCCCAAGATGAAAATGCAATAAGTTTATTGGTGCCCTAAGTGCACCTCAGTCCACCTATGGCGAATCCAGCTCTAGGAGAGATGCCTTGTGATTGAAGGGTTTGCCTCCTTGTGTGTCTCTTTGGATCTTGCTGAGCTGAGCCTACACTTCTCATGGGTTCCTGTGACATTTGGTGGTTCAGCCTATATACCATTATAGCCTGGTGATTTAAAGCACAGACTTTGGGATCAGAAAATCTGGTATCAAAACCTGATTGGACCTCTTACTGACTGTATAAACTTGAGAAAATAACCTCTCAGTCTTCAGTTTTCTCTTCCATGAGAAGGGGAACTGCTTCAGAGGATTCCTGTCGGGATTAAATCAATCAAGGTATTTTAAAAACTAAGCCCATACCTCACACAACAGTGGTTTTCATGGTTCTGGCATAATCCAGTCTCCTTTCATATTTTATCTCTGCCCTAGAAATGTCACTTGTCTCTTCTTTGTCCCTCCTTGATCAAAAAAAAAAAAAAAACAAAAACACTGCAGAAGGTGATATCAGTGAAAATGGTGGAGTTCAAAGGAACTCCAAAATTCCATCCTTCCATAAAAGCAATGAAAAAATTGGCAAAAACTGTCAGAATCAACTATTTGGAACTCTGGACAATAACCAAAGGCTTGCAGCAATCCAAGGGAAACCACTAATAAAGTAATTCAAAAATATATAGTAAAAATGTGATGACAGAATTAAAATGGTACACTGTTAATATCTAAATATCCATTCAACACCCAAAAAGACCACAGAAGAAGAGTTGAGAAACAAACAAACAAAAAATATATATGTGTGTGTGTGTGTGTGTATGACTATAGAAAAACAAAGAGCCAAATGGTAGAGTTAAGTTTGTTTTACCCTTAATGTAAATAGATTAAATTCTTCCATTAAAAGGTAGACATTGGGAGAAATTATTAAAAACATGATCCAACTAAATGCTGCCTACAGGAGGCTCACTGTAGATTCAAAGACACAAGTATGTTAAAAGTGAAAGAGTGGGAAAAAAAAGATACTCCTTGCCAAAGGAGCACCACAGTGTCTATACAAATATCACACAAAATAGACTTTTAGATAAAATTGTTAATAGAGACAAAAAAAGAACATTACATAATAATGATAAAAGTGTGAATTTACCAAGGAGATATAACAATTATAAAATCTTTGCTTAGAGTGCTCCCAAAAAATAAGAGATAAAATTCAAATTACTAAAATCAGAAATGAAACAGAGGACATTACTACTGACTGATGGAAATATTGTGTAATTAGATAGTGGGAATGGCCACATAACATTATGGATATACTAAAAAATATTCAATTGTACACCATGAAATGGTGACTTTTATGTCATGTGATTTATCTTAATTTTTAAGTCATAAATATATATATTCAATTTACTTAATATATATTAAAATGTTTATATAATATATAAATATATATTTAATATATTAAATATATAATATATATAAATTTACAATGTATACATTTAATGGAATGCAGGTGTTCAGTGTACTTGATAATCATATTTCTTGCAATAAATTAATAATTTGGCTTCTTTGTACAAATCAATAGCATGAATTTGCTTTCTCAGCACCTCATTATGTCCAGTTAAACTACCCACCAAGGAGATCAAACTGCCCAGCAAGATCAAACCAGTCAATCCTAAAAGAAATCAACCCTGAATATTCATTGGAAGGACTGATGCTGAAACTGAAGCTCCAATCCTTTGGCCACCTGATGCAAAGAATTGAGTCACTGGAAAAGACCCTGAGGCTGGGAAAGGTTGAGGGCAGGAGGTGAAGGGGACAACAGAAGATGAGATGATTGGATGGCATCACTGACTCAATGGACATGAGTTTGAACAAACTCTGGGAGATGGTGAAGGACAGGTGAAGATAGGACTTGCTGCAGTCCATGGGATCACAAAGAGTGAAACATTAACAACTGAACAACAACAATCAAGCACTTATTTACACACAGTACTGCTACAGATGAGTGGGAAAAAGGGCCCTACAAATGAGAACACTGCCCATGTCCTCCAAATGTACTATAACTGTCTATGGATTTGCTGTAAGTGTGCAAGGCATCAAGAGCCAATGTGGATGATATGTTGGGCTGTCATTCAGTGGAAGTGGGAATGGTTTAAGAAGGTCTCATAACTGAGGTATTAATAGAATGGGCTTGATGAAATGGTGAACACACTGTTGAGTTTGCTGGAAACAATTATCTTCCAATAACTAAATTAAATCCTACTGAATCATGCTTGGAAGCTTTTAACAACCTAGCGTTACCATTTTAATGTGACATCACAAAGTTTGAGTCCCTCCTTGAGGTCAAGTTTGGACAAGCCAGACGATAAATGCTGAGAGGTTTATCAATAATCACCCAAGGGTTGACTAAATCACTGAACACTGGCCCTTCCTGATACTACCCACCTGTCAACAATGCAGTTATACACCCCAGATATAGAACATACACATATAGGCCCATATCCCATATCCCTCTACTGCCCACAAAGCCAGTCTTCCTGCTCAAGAAGTTCCTGTGGATAACCAAATAGGGCCTATTGTATAGCACAAGGAACTCTGCTCAATGTTATGTGGTAGCCTGGATGGGAAGGGAGTTTGGGGAGAATAGGTACATATATATGTACGGCTGAGTCCCTTTGCTGTGCACCTGAAACTATCACAACATTGTTAATCAACTATACTCCAATATAAAACCTTTTTTAAAAATTTAAAAATTAATTTTAAAAAAGAGGTTTCTGTGAGGGTACAAGGAAATCTAGGACCATATTTCATTAAATAACTGACAGATCCTTCTGGAAGACCCATTCACTCTCTCAATGAATTAGGATAGCACTTAGCTTCCTGGAGTCTCTTATAATGCACTCAGGGGAGGAAGCAATATGCGTGCAGTACAAGAGTGGCATAGAGCAGTCTGTAAAACCCACAATTATGGCAGAACCATTAACCATTAACCATTGACCACAATGCCCTTTCCAAATAAGCTTAGATAACCTCAGAGTACTTCTTAATTGGATCCAAGCAGGCACCATCACTAAACTGGGATTGGAAATGCAAAATGAAATCCATTTGCTGTCCCAGAATAGAATTGAGACCACAGGCTTTAAGGGAGCTCCTTCTTTAAGCCATTAGTTATTTTTAAACCTTTGGCACCTGGGTCATTTTAAGCTTTTGCAACCACAAAATTCCAAGAATTTAAGTCTACTGGACCTGGCAACACTGAGGGACAGTTCCGCCAATATTCCTAAATTTGGTAGGTAACAGATAAAATTTATCACATGTGCCGTAAGTGTAAATTTTCAGTAACTTCTCAAAATCTGCACCCAGTATTGTTGTTTCTTAAGAGAAACAAGGGAGGGCAGGAGAGGGGGTGACTATATTGGGCAACAGGTGGAAGAAAAGGAAAGTGGAAATGGGTGAGGAGCAGAGGCGAGAGGGTCAGCAGAGAGCAGTGGGGACTGATCTAAAGAGTGAAGTCTAGGTTCCGATGGGAAAATTGGGGTTGGGGGCAGGGACCTAGCCAGGGTGTCCTGAGCACCTACTTTGGATGCTTGAAGGCCATGAGGCACCGTTCATACTTTCCCACCATGCTCCAGGCCATGACCAGGCCATCAGTGCTTCCCGACAGGAGATGCCACTGGTCGAAGTATAGACACTTCACGGCCCCCTCGTGGCCATTGAGCGTCTGCAAGAAAAGATGCCTCTGTTCTCAGCCCATCTTCAGCCCGAATAGTGACTCCTCAAGGAGCAGAGCTGGAGGCTTCTTGAGATGGATCCCAAACGCTCCACCAATCTGTGACTACCACACTGGGAGTCTGCCTGAGTCCACTACATGTCTGCTCTAAGAAGGTTGGTGAGGTTCAGGCAACCTGCTCTCCAGAGCTCCCTCCCCAGTTAAGGAGGAAGGAGATCGGGGGAGGCCTGGTACCCAGTGGGTCTGTGACCAGGCAGGCCCCGCCTTCCTAGAGTGCCTGAGAGGGACACAGTCTTCCTTCCTCCGCTGACAGAAGGGCAAGGCTCATGTGTCAGCTCCCTGCCAGGACCAGAGGCAGCTTGATGTCCAGTAACTGCTGCTTGGACCACGGTAACATCACTGGTGAAAAAGCCCACCAGCCAGGCAGCCGTTTCTCACTGTGATTCTGCGTTCTCGGCACAAAAGTTATCTCAGCACCACCCACCAGGGATGGGGGCTGCCCATCTGGCAAGAACACTTCTTGTGTGTAAACATTCAATCACTTTCTAGACAGCCAACATTCTCAGAAGAGAGGCAAGAGGAGATCACTGTGGTTTGCTCATTCCCAGACCCCGTGCCAGAATCAGGGTCAGATGTTCCAGAAGAAGAAAAGGTATTTTATCTGTGCTGTTGTGAAAAGACTCCGCTGAGTCCATGTGTCTTGCAGAGTCAGAACACAGCCTCCACCACCTCCACCCATGACAACATGGCTCACGTGGGCCTTGACCTTCAACCAACTCAGAATGGGCCCTTCTTAGGGGGTCTTCCCCTTCCCTTTCTCAGGACCACCCTTTTTTGGTGACTGCCTCTCAACCACCCTAGGGTGGTCTGGGGAGCTACCTGGAGGTGGACTATCAGTGTCCTCCGGTCTCTTACCCGCAGCACTCTGCTCCCCAGTCCCCACCCCTGGCCCGTCCCCCTAGTCCCCTCCCCCAAGTCCCCACTCCTCACCTTTACCAGCTGGGCCGTGGCCATGTGCCACACTTTGACCATGCCTTTCTCGCAGCTGCTCACGATGTACGTGTCATTGATCCTGATGGCCAGGATGGGGTCTTTGTGTTTGAAAGTCTTTAGGCACTTCCCTGTCTCTATATCCCATTCTGAAAGGGAAGGGGAGAGAAAAAAGTGGGTGCATGAAGAAGGCGCCAAAGGGGCTCCATACCCCATCACAGAAGCTGAGACCAGCCGAGCCCATCATGTCAGACTCCAGAAGGCTTCACCTGGTCCAGCACCCCCACACACTCACCCATAGTCTATGTACCTGCAACCCAGGGCTCCCCTCTCATAGCCCTTGGGAGATCCAGCAATGCATAGACCTTGGCTCTGACCCTGGAACTTAGCCTCCTCCTCAAGCCTGAAAGACGCTAGAGTAGATTTCAGGAAAATCATGGCAGGTATTCAGGGCATGATTCCTCCCAGATGCTGTCTCCTGACCCTCACCTCCTAACCACCCCCAAAGAAGAGAAAGCTGTCTATCTCCATTTACATTTTAAAGTATTTCTAAATCTGACCTTTGGATTTTACTTCTAAGAGATTATCACAGCTGAGGGTGGATCTACTGCTGCTTCTACACAGATGGTGCTGGAGCCCCCACCTCTCATATCGGAAATGTTGGGTGGATATGAGAGTCCATGGGTGGCGGGAGAACTGAGCTTGAAGGAAGAGACTGAGCACCACAAATTCAGTGATGAGAACATTAAAGCCCCCCAAAGAACTTTCTTCCTCAGGCGATGGAATGAGTATCACAGGACCAAATACTAACCACAGTGCACACCCACCCCACACTAACCATGACCCAGGCACCAATCAAAATGCTTACCATGCATTAACTCATCTTTACAAGACAAAGCTATTATTACTCCTTCCTGTACAGATGGGGAAACTGAGACCCAGAGAAGTTCAGTAAGATCACAGGGGTGGTGAGCAGATTGAACTGGGATTTGAACCCAGGGAGTCTGGGTCCAGAGACCATGTTTCTAACCATTAACCCAAGCTATGTGAGTAAGCTTTTCTACGTTGATTTTTTGCCCTCACCTGGGCATCTGCGGGAACTCCGCACTCAATGCATTAGCTTCCCATTGCTGCTGTAACAGATTACTTTCAGTTTAGAGCCTGAAAATGACAAATGGATTATCTTACAGAATCACTGCACAGCCTCACAAGGCTAAAATCAAGGTGTCAGCAGGGCTGTGCTCTTTTAGGAAGTCTCAGGCTAGTGGGGGAAGGAATCCATGTCCTTGCTTTTTCCACCTTCTAGGGTCCCACACACACACCTTGGCTCACAAACCCCTTTCTCCATCTTCAAGGCCAGCAACGTTCCATCTCTCTGACCATTCCTCCAGTCATGTCTCCTTTTGGTCACACATAAGAAAATGTCTGTTTTTATGGATCCAAGTGATGACCCATGGGCCCACACCAATAACCCAACCCCCATTTTAAGGTCCCTGACTTCAGTACATCTTCAAAGTCCTTCTTGCCATGCAAGGTGACACAGTCACTGGTTTCCGGGATTAGGATGGGACCATCTTTGTCTGGCTGTTCTGCCTGCCTGCCACACTCGACGTGTCCAAAATACAAGCCATCATCTTCTCCTCCATCCCTCCCCTACCCTGCTCTTCGTCCAAGGTCCCATTTCCATCAGTGGTCCTTCTGTGTACCCAATGACCTGAGTTATAAAGTCTGACCTCACCCTTCACCCTTCCTTCTTGCTTTTCATTTCCTGTTGGTGCTGAAGTCCTGCCTGTTCTCATTCTGGAAATCCCACCCGACCCACCCTCTGTATGTACCATCTCCTGTAAACTCAGATCCATCCGATAACTTCACACTTGCCTATTCTCAGATATTCTGAAGACATCCAGAGTTTCTCTAGACTGAGTAGTATTTTAACTTGTCCCCTGTCCCCACAGAGTTGCCATCTCTCCAAATCTTTCTTCCACAATATCACTAGAGCAGTCTTTCTCAAATACACATTTCATCATATCGCTTCTCAGCTTAGAATGCGTTTACAGCCTCATACATCTTACAGAATAAAGTTCAATTTTCAACACAGAAGGCCCTTTATAATCTGGCCCCCAAAAAAATACCTGCCTGATCGCCAACACCACACACAACAGCTCAGCCAACTGAGCAGAGGGAAAGTCCCTCAATTCTTCATTTTCTTTCATGTTCTGTGATTTGCCTGAGCTGTTCCTTCTGCTTGAAATGCCCTACATGCTCCCTCTGCATGTAGAACTACTCATCCTCAGGACCACACTCAAACAGTACCCTGTCTGCAGTGCTTTCCCTTTTACTCTTATTTCTATGGTGACTTAGACTTCCACAAACTCACTGGAGTACATGTTTTAGAACCAAACAGCCCTAGGTTCAAATCCCCACCCAACCACTTAGCAGTTTTGACTCAGGGCTAATTGTTTTCCTCTCTGAGTCATGGATCCCTTATCTGCATCCACCCCACAGAACACTTATGAGACTGAAATAAGATAATGTAAAGCACCCCTCGCAGTCCCAAAGTTAGTACTCAACAGCAACTGTTGTCATTCACATATTTAGTCTTCCCTCCGTGATATATTTATATATCTGTCTCCGTTAGGAGACCACGAGGCTCTTGAGGAAATAGAAAGCCATGTGGAAAGGGCCATGGCATATGCTGCTTTCCTTACACTTAGCACAGCTCCTAGCATTCAACCAATAGTCATCGAGTGAATGAATCGATGGATCCATAAACAGATGGATGAAGGGATAAGCAACTGCCTTTAGAAATGAGCAAAACAAGTCTTCTGGCAACCCATGGGCTTAAGGAAACATCTTAGAGAGTCTGAGACATTTCTTTCTCACCTTTTACCTGGCAATCTTTTGCTCCAGAGGCGAGCTTGTTCTTATACACATCCATGCAGGTGATGGTCCCCTGGTGGCCATTGAAGATGCGTATACAAGCCCCACTCTTCAGATCCCAGTATCTGCAGGAATCAAACCACAAAAAAGAGATGTTTTTGAGATTTTCTGAGGGCCCAAGGGTTCAACAGTATAGAGTTCCTTTAGGTTGATAGGTAGTTGGAAGGCATCAGAGTTTCATGATTAAGCTCAGAGTCCAAGGCCTGGATTTGAATCCCAGTTGCAGCACCTATTATGTGTAACTTTAAGAAAGCTACTGAACTTTGGTGAAAACTTCATTTCCTCCTTGATACAATGGAAATGATAATAATTATTATTATCTCACAGATTTATGAAATATTAAATACAGTAATGCAGAAATTGTCAACTAGGGGTGACATCCACTCCCAGGAGACATGTGACAATGTCTGGAGATGTTTGGTTGTCACAAGTTGGGCTTCCCTGGTGACTCAAATGGTAAAGAATCTGCCTGCAATGTGGGAGACCCAGGTTTGATCCCTCGGTCAGGAAGATCCCCTGGAGAAGGGAATGGCTTAATTCCATGGACAGAGGAGCCTGGCAGGCTGCAGTCCATGGGATTGCAAAGAGTCAGACACAATTGAGTGACTAACACTTTTCATCAGATGGAAGGGTCCCTAGAACAATCACCAGGCTCAGAATCCATGACACTGATTCAGTGGTAGAGCTAATATTCAAACAAGAACAACAGAACAATTGACATGTGCCACTTGGATTCAGACTATTTTATGTGCATTTCTAAAGCATATATAGGGCTTCCCAAGTGACTCTGTGGTAAAGAATCCACTTGCCATGCAGGAGACCTGGGTTCTATCCCTGGGTTGAGAAGATCCCCTGGAGGAGGATGGCAACCCATTCCAGTATTCTTGCCTGGAGAATCCCAAGGACAGAGGAACATGGTGGGCTACAGTCCATGGGGTCACAAAGAGTCAGACATGACCTAGCAACTAAACACACACACACACACACACACACACACAAAGCATATCTAAGAGATATATGGGAAACATGTATGAGTCACACTGTTTTTTAATATACAAACTTGCCTGAGGTCTCTCAACCATCATTCATACTGACTTTGTGACAGGACAAAGTATAGTGTCAAGAGACTGGGCTCTGGAGCCAGGCTGCCTGAGGTCCACTCCCATATCCATCACTCACTGGCTGTGTGATCTCAAATAAGTTACTGAATCACCTATCTCAGTTTCCTCATCTGTAAATTGGGGATAATAATGGTACTTATCCCATATATTAGGAGACTTGGCACAAAATAAACAATAAGTAAATGTTTCTTTTGATTTGGGCAGGGAAGCGTTGTCAGATTTTTCCTTCTAATATTCCTAAAGGTCCCATGGCCTTTATCTGTTCATCAGAGCCTGCTATGCATACATAGTTGAGTTTAACAAGGTCCCAGTGGTCTGAAAAAAAAGCATGTTTTGAATTTCTACCTCCTAGCATCATGGTTGACCATATGCCCAGGTTGTTTTCATAATTTATGCAGAAAAGGTATTTGATAAATGCTTTTAGAAAAATAGGAATGGGGACTTCCCTAGTGGTCCAGTGGCTAAGACTCCATGCTCCCAATACAGGGGGATTGGGTTCAATCCCTAGTCAGGGAACTAGATCCCACATGCTGCAACTAAAGATCCTATATGCAGCACTGAAAATTCTGCATGCTGCAACTAAGACCCATTATAGCCAAATAAATAAATATTTTTTAAAACTTGTAAGTGGATGCTTATAGCCACTTACTCATAACAGACAAAATGTAGCAGCAACCAAGATGTCCTTCAGTAGATGAAGGAGTAAATAAATTGTGGTCCATCCGGACAGTGGAATATTATTCAGTGTAAGAAAAAAATGAGCTATCCAGACATGAAAAGACATGGAGGAGCCTTAAATGAATATGACTAAGTGAAAGAAGATCTGAAAAAGCTACACACTGTATGATTTCAACTATATAACATTGGGAGAAACATGAATAAGCAGAGAACAGAGGATTTTAGGGCAGTGAAAATACTTTGTATGATACTATAATGATGGATACGTGTCATTATATGTTTGTCCAAATACATACAAAATACACCACCAAGTGTGAACCCTAAGGTAAACTGTAGACTTTAGGTAATTGCATGCATACTCAGTCACTCAGTTGTGTCCTAACTCTTTGTGACCCCACGGACTGTAGCCCACCAGGCTCCTCTGACCAAGGGATTCTCCAGGCAAGAATACTGGAGTGGGTTGTCATTTCCTCCTTCAGGGGATCTTTCCAAGCCAGGGACCGAACTCGCATCTCCTATATCTCCTGCACTGCAGGAGGATTCTTTACCCACTGAGCCATCAGGAAAGCACAGATTATGATGTGTCAAAGCAGGGTCATCAGTTGTGACACATGTACCACTCTGATGGGGAATCTTGAGGACAAGAGAATATATTCATGTGTGGGTGCAGAGGGTATATTGGAAAACTTTGTGTCTTCCTGTCAATTTTGCTGTGAATCTGAAACTGCTCTATAAAAATTCTTTTTTAAAAAGGTAGTTTTGATGCAAGAATAGAAAAGCAAGCCAACAGCACTGTGTTGTGTTTTTGAAAGTTGCTGAGAGTAGATCTTGAAAGTTCTCATCACAAGAAAAAAAAATGCCACTATATGCAGTGATGGATATAATTAAATTCACTGGGGTAATCATTTTGCAATAAATGCATATCTCAAGTCATTATATTGTACACCTAATATATTGTATGTCAATGTATACCTCAATATACCTCAATAAAATATATGTATGTCAATATACCTCAACAAAAAATTTTAAAGAAAAAAAATTTTTTTAACTCATACACATGGGTACCAGAAAATACATACAGGAATGTCTATGGCAGTAATCTTTGAAAGAATAAAGAGCTAACAACAATGCAAATATCCACCAACCAAAGAGTAAACAAATGAGCTATGATGATGTATTCATCCAATAAAATACTATATCTCAGTGAAAATAAGTTCATCACTGCTATCTATATCATAAAGATGAATCTCAAAATTAGTGCTTGAATCAAGTACACATGAATTTTTAAAACACAACTACATTTATGTTAAGTTCAAGAAAGGACAAAGGTAGTGAATATATCTGGAGATACCTAAATAGGTAGCAAAACTATAAAAAAAATTCAAGTATAAAATTTAAATTGATTGGGAGGAAGAAAGAAAAAATAAGAGAAAGGCACATAATAAGATTTGGGGAATGGTAATGCCCTACTTCTTGACCTGAGTAACGAGCACATGAGTATTTATTATATTGTTTAAAAATATTTGTATATATATACTTTTATCACTATTTGGCCTCCATACCAGGTTTCACACTCACAAAAAAACTACTTTCCCCTGAAGGAATCCATAAAAAGAAATATAAACTATGCTTTCATCTAAGAATACTAAAGAAAATACTTTCTGATTTGTAAACTTCAGCTAGAAAATAGGTCTAATAATTGCTATAAATCTATCTCACTCAAAGTTTAAACAGTATACAAATTTTTGGTTTTTATCTTGCCAAAAAAAGTGTGAGTTATTCTAGAAGTCAGCATCATTTAGGATAACTTTTGCATAAATACAAAAGAAAATGTAAAAGCACACGTGCTTTTTCCACAAGCTGTGTTTAGGCCTGGGCAAGTTGAGGACCACAACTTTCTTGGACCACTTACCTGATACTCAGGTCATAACTCCCACTCAGGAGAAAGTTCTCTTCTTCACACAAGAAGAGGGCCCGGACACTCCCAGCATGGCCTCGAAACCTGATGGGTATCTCCTTTACACATATGATGTCCAGAAGCTGGATCTTTCGATTGGATGACATGGCTAACAAATCTCCCCCAGAATAGTGGATGATTCTATTTCGGTCCCACCTGAGTTGCCAGGAAAAAGATGCACCATGAGAGAAGAGAACCATGGAACTACTTAGTACAGTGCCTTTTGCCTATAGCAATGCCATCATGGAAAATCCATCCAGCAAGGGATGTAGCAGAAGGCAAGGCCTAATGTTAATAAGCCCTGATGGATCCCTACCTCACACTGTAACAAAAATGCATTTCAAGTAGATTTAAAACCTAAACACAAAAGGCACAATTATTTTAACAGTTTCTGCTAATGTATAATAAATCCCCAGGACAGAGAACAGAGTATGCAGCATTTTCTGCTTTATTTGACCATGGAAACCTTTTTTCACAGAAAACCTCAGAGGAACACAGTTGGGAAGCCCTATACTGACTGCATATCCCACTGCTGTCATTGTTGTTTCCCTTAACCAATATCCCATGAGCATACTACATTAGGGGCAAAGTCTTGTGCTAATAAGTGCTCATGGGAAACACAAAGATGAGTAAGATATGGATGGACCCTGCCCTCAATCAGTATGAAATCCAACAAAATAGGGTGAGTTGAATTAATTTTCTAATCACAAGGTTATTAGCAAGTAGATAAAATATGAGCAAGATGACCAAAAAATTTATTGCCCAAACTGATTTTTTTTATCATGAAAGGGGACACTATTATTAATTACTCGAGGACCACACAGTAAAGCAGGGTTGTTTGGATAAACAGGGATGGATAGTCACTCTAAATATGAGGAGCAATTCCTGACAATTTTGCCCTCATTCCATTTGTGATATCTAGAGTTCAACCTGTCATTTTCTCTGCTAAAGAGCACATATCAACATACTATTCATAAACACTCAGCTCTGTCTTTTCCCATCTGTTCTGTCCTCCCCCTATTTGACTGGTCAAGATGCAATTTGTTAGTAAGGTTCACAACCAAAAACAGAATAAAAGATGTCCTTCACAAAACTTTTTGAATAAAAAGTGAAGTTCTAGATCTAAAATATGTCAGGAAGTTGACATTACGAAAGGATCTTCTTCTGACATATTCAAATGATGTCACACTACATAGTTACCATAAATACCATTTTAATATTTAACATGAAAAGACACAGTACTTTGCTAGAGTGGGTTACCGAAATATGTATAGAATAGCCCCATTTCTATCTAAAATACATATTTATACATGCCAAGAAAAAATTCTATGACAGACATCAAAATTAATGGTAGTTATCTCTATATGACGAGATTATAGAAGGGATTGCTTTTTCTCTATACATTTTCTGGCATTTAGTGGATATTTTTTCCAAAGACTATATATTACTTCTAAAATAAGAATTAAACAGTAAAGATAGTTTTAAAAGATTTCATGCATGTGAATTGTGCAAAAGGTTGCTGGTCAGTGTACCCAAAATTTGTAAGAGCAGAGTGTCCTCCACCCGCTACTGTTTGTTGTTGTTTAGTTACTAAGTCATGTCCAGCTCTTTTGCAACCCCATGGACTGTAGCCTGCCAGGCTCCTCTGTCCATGGGATTTCCCAGGCATGGATGCTGGCGTGGGTTGCCAGTTCCTCCCCCAGGGGGCCTTTTCCACCCAGGGATCGAAACCACGTCCCCTGCATTGACAGGCAGACTCTTTTACCATTTAGCCACCAGGGAAGCCCACCCTCTACTGAGAATGGTGCAAAAATCAAGCACCAAGTCTCCAGATGGGTTTGGGGCTGGAGTTTCAGGTGAAGAAGGATTGCTTTTCCAGTGAGCGAGGGTCATGGGAATCCTCAGATGCTTGTGTGGGTAGTCCAGGGGCCCTGGGCCCTAGATTCTGAGCCTAGTACCTACATGTCAGAGAGGATGCGGATGTTGTAAGAGCCACAGAAGACATTCCTCTCCTCCATCTGCACCTGCTGAGTCTCCTGGTTCTGGTACGCAGTCCACAGGTTGTAGTCATTCTAACAAGGGAACACCCGCAGTCAAAGGACGGGGCGACCTGGCCCAGGGCCCCAGACATGCACCCTGGGATTCACCCCTGGAAAGGGTTCAGGGGTCCATGGCCTCCTCCTCTTCAGGCCATGGCAACTGCTATGTGGTGATGGGGACGGGGCCGACCAGTGAGAAAAGGAACCCCTGAATGCAAAAATACTGAGTCGAGGGTCCTGATTCCTCTTCCACCTCTGATTCTGTGAATGTCCGGTGCTGCTGATAACACAGTTTTTTTAAACTGAGCTCAGGACCACGATGCATGCAAAATAAAGTCACTGGTGCCCCTTGACTGACCATTTCACAGAACCGGGGGATTCAGGTTCACGTTGTGTACATGTGAAAGTACAGAGCATACTTGTGGGAACTCGAGGCACAAGTGAAATCACTGCTGCACGCTCTGTGCCTGGTGTGTCGAGGTCTTCACACATCAGCACCCCTCACCTCCTCACAGCTGCGTCACACAGCATGTCACCTGCCCCAGCAAGTATTCTCATCATTTCACAGATGAGACAGCGGAGCCTCAGCGAGGGCAGCCTCAGAGAGGCCCTGCCCCCACGTCCTTCCCCATCCCCAGCCACAGACCTCTGCGGCCATGAGACGCAGGGACAGACCAGTGGGGACACCCAGGGATCCTGACATTGCTCCTGGCTCTGAGCTGCCCACGAGATGCTTGGTGTCACGGACATAGGACCTGGCGTGGGAGCCGCAGTCAGGAAGAACTTCAAGAAGACACACAAATGAGTCCTCACTTAACAGATGAGGAATACAAGGCTTAAGGAGAGGAAATCACTTGCCTACAGACACACAACACAGGACTCTGGCCTCTCTCTTAGGGTATGTCACCTCCCATACCCCATATCCATATGCTCTATCCCATATCCTCCATGCCCCACATCCATAATATGCTCTATCCTGTACCCTCTGATGTCTGGCATCCTTACGTGAGGTCCGAGCCTGGACTTCGGCCTTCAGTGGCCAGTAAGAAAGGACGCCCTACAGTCACTTACCCCAGATGCCATCGGAACCCACCTTTGTTCTCAGTTTCCACTTCTGATTTTTCACACGTAGGTGCTTCCCGTCATCCGTCATTTTTGGAACTGGGATAATAACCTTGTTGGCATAATTAGGGTCTATTCCCCTGGTGTAGGACCCCTGGGGGAAATAACAGAAGTGTTCTTACACTCCAAGAAAAAACTAAAACAAGTGCTTGGCAGGATCTGAAAGACGGATAAGCTCTGGCCTGGGAAGGCATGGGCCTGGAGAGTTGGGCCACTGGTGTGGGCAGACTGGTTCAAGGAGGGTAATGACATCAAACGTCCAGGGAGGACCAGCAAGAACGGTGGGTGGCATGGCTGATTCATGTCAATGTATGGAAAAAACCACTACAATATTGTAAAGTAATTAGCCTCCCATTAAAATAAATAAATTAATTAAAAAAAAAAAAAAGAATGGTGGGTGGTCCCCAGGCTCCAGCATGTGGCCTGCCTCAAGGCCTCCTTGTCTGTCTCCTGTCCCCTCCCTCTGCTGGGAAAAAAACCAAACTACCAGGAACCCCTGATTTAGGGTCAGGCTTCAGGCAAGAGACAGAACTGTAAATGCCAGAGGTGGTTACTATCCAGGGAATAGTGCAGCATAACCTAAAAATACACTTTGTGGCCTTGTAAACATCTGTGTACGTGAGGCTCTCTTATGGCACAAGCTCTGGTAAGGCTTCCTGGGGAAAGCTCCCAGCACCATGGGGCATGGGGAAGGCTCTGCCTCTCTCTGCCTGCGGGGCTTCTAGACAGGGTGCTCCCCATCAGAGAGTCAGTGGTGACCGAGAGTCTGGACATGAAGGCAATGAGGAAGCAGCCCACGTGGAGTTGGAGGCCAGCTTGGGAGCCACCACAGACGGGAAGGCTTGGCAGAAAGGAGGCTGGTCTGACCTGTCCCTCCCAGGCAGGCCGTACCTGCAGGAAGGCGATCTGGTGCTGAATGAAGGAGTGCATGGACAGGTCGGTCTTGACTTGCTGTGCCAGAGCCGCCCAGTGCTGGCTCACAAAGCTACACCTGTTCAAGGTGCTCCTATCCAGCAAACCTGGAAAAACAAGAAGTGGGCCTGGAAACCTCCAACCTGGGCCACAGTGAGGGAGAGGGGGTGCTTGAGAAACCCCCCAACAAGCCCCGCATACTTAGAATATACTTGGAGAGGTGGATGGGCAGCTGGCGGATGAAGTCGCGGTACCTGCTGACCCCAGAGGACAGTTCTCTGACGGTGTCCAGATCCAGCAGCACATCTGTGGCCGGGGCCCAGCCTGATTTGGACACACTGGTTTTTTCAGAAAATAGCCTGTTCATCTCGGAAATACACCGGAGTGAATTCTTCCACTGTACTTCTAGAGGGAAACCGGGAAAGGGGGCACACCTAGGGCATCTTTGGGATGAGTCCAAGCCCACTCAGGGACAAGTGCTTTCTCTGAGCACTCTTGGGCTTCCCCGGTGGCTCAGCCAGTAAAGAATCTGCCTGCAATGCAGGAGATCCATGTTCAGTCCCTTGGCCAGGAAGATCCCCTGGGGAAGAAAATGTCAACCCACTCCAGTATTCTTGCCTGGGAAATCCAAATCCAGACAGAGGAGTCTGGCGGGCTACAATTCATGTGTGTGTGTGCTTAGTCACTCAATAGTGTCCAATTCTATGCAGGGTTGCAAAAAAGTCAGACACGACTTGGCAACTAAACTACCACCACCACCAGGCCTAGAGTAAGTCCTTGCCAAAAGCTCCCCCACCAAAACAGAGCTTGTCAGAGTCTACCCTGAGGCCACTGAGCTTTGGTCATTTCTTCCGCCAAAGTGAAAATACAATTTCCCCTAACCAAGCACACAAGCAGTTTTCAGCATTCCCAGCTCAAGGTGACATCTGCAGCATGAAAACTGCCCTGCTGGTGAAAAGGCATGGGGTCCAGAGTTCCCTTTAAAGGATCCCAACAAGAAAAGGTCTCAGACAATTTGTAAAGAGAGGGGTGGATGAAATGAGATGGACAAGATGGTGATGATTATTGAGCCTGGAAGACAGTTACACGGGTGACGATTACACTGTTCTACCTCCTTAGAACAGACCCTGATGCCAGGAAAGATGGAAGGCAGGAGGAGAAGGGGGCAACAGAGGATGAGATGGTTGGATGGCATCATCGACTCGATGGACATGAGTTTGAGCAAGCTCCAGGTGACAGGGGAGGAGAGGGGAGCCTGGCGTGCTGCAGTCCATGAGGACACAGAGAATCAGACATGACTTAGTAACTGAACAACAACAAAAACAAACCTATTTTTTGAAACTTCAAATTTTCCGTATACAAAGCATTTTAGAACCTATGCCTTGTGTTTCCTGTATTTATTCCATGTATGTGTCTTGATTCAAAAACCAACTGAGGACAGCCTTAAGGTCAGAGCCCAATTCCCCACTGCTCTTGTTTCCACCTCAAGACTGAATCCAGGGACAGCCCTGGTGTCCCAGTGATAAAGATTGCACTCCCAGTCCAGGAACCTGGGTTCAATCTCTGGTCAGGGAACTAGGTCCCTCATGCCACAACTAAAGATCCCACATGCCACAATTAAGACCTCGCAGAGCCAAACAAATAAATAAAAGGACTGAATCCAGTGCTGCAAAAATAGCTCCTGGTGGGTTGGATTCTGGAGGTGCCCCTCCCCCTCCCTGTACCAGAGGTCGGGAGGCTAGACCAAGGGATACAACCTGGGGCACAGGGAAACTTAGGGTCGCACTGACTGATTTTCATCCTTGTTTCTCACCTTACCAGTGAGCATAAGCACGTTCGGTCACTCACTTGTGTCCAATTCTCTGTGACCCCATGGATTAGCCCACCAGGCTCCTCTGTCCATGGGATTCTCCTGTCAAGAAGACTGGAGTGGGTTTCCATTTTCCTCCTCCAGGGGGTCTTCCTGACTCAGGGATCAAACCTGCGCCACCTGTGTCTCCTGCATTGCAGCTGGATTCTTTACCAGCTGAGCCATTGGAGAAGCCCACTTACCAGACACGGGATTAAATGAGGGAATAAACACCAGAGTGCCCAGCCCACTTCGTAGACAACAAATGAGTGTGAGTTGCCCACATTTGTCCTCCTCAGATGCCACCACCTGCCAGCCCCTCCAGGTCCATGGGGACCCCTCCCCTTGGGCTGTGCTGCCACCAGCGGGCTTACCAGCAGTGGCTGTTCCCCCCCGCACAAGGTCACGCAAGCTTGCTTTTCCTGTAGCTTTGGACAACGGGAAGGTTGTGTGCCTGGTTCCGGCTGCCCAGCAGACTTGTGAGGTGTCACACGAGTGTGTGTGGCCTTCTTTAGGGATGAAAAACATGTTGGTAAAGTCTGGGTCGATCCCTGAAAAACAGAAGACCAAGACAAGTGACCCTTGAAGCAGGTGCATGGAGAGGAAGTGCTGAAGAAAAGTGGCTTTAGGTCTACTGGTTTCTTTTAAATCTACACAAAACAGACCAGGCCAGTCATGTTTGTTTCTATTTAGGGGCCTCCGAGTGGGAGAAATATCAATAACCTCGGATATGCAGATGACACCACCCTTATGGCAGAAAGTGAAGAGGAACTAAAAAGCCTCTTGATGAAAGTGAAAGAGGAAAGTGAAAAAGTTGTCTTAAAGCTCAACATTCAGAAAACTAAGATCATGGCATCGGGTCCCATCACTTCATGGGAAATAGATGGGGAAACAGTGGAAACAGTGTCAGACTTTATTTTGGGGGGCTCCAAAATCACTGCAGATGGTGATTGCAGCCATGAAATTAAAAGACGCTTACTCCTTGGAAGGAAAGTTATGACAAACCTAGATAGCATATTAAAAAGCAGAGACATTACTTTGCCAACAAAGGTCCGTCTGGTCAAGGCTATGGTTTTTCCAGTGGTCATGTATGGATGTGAGAGTTGGACTGTGAAGAAAGCTGAGCACCAAAGAATTGATGCTTTTGAACTGTGGTATTGGAGAAGACTCTTGAGAGTCCCTTGGACTGCAAGGAGATCCGACCAGTCCATCCTAAAGGAGATCAGTCCTGGGTGTTCATTGGAAGGACTGATGTTGAAGCTGAAACTCCAATACTTTGACCACCTCATGGGAAGAGTTGACTCATTGGAAAAGACCCTGATGCTAGGAGAGATTGGGGGCAGGAGGAGAAAGGGATGACAGAGGATGAGATGGCTGGATAGCATCACTGACTCAATGAACTTGAGTTTGAGTAAACTCCGGGAGTTGGTGATGGACAGGGAGGTCTGGCGTGCTGCGATTCATGGGGTCACAAAGAGTTGGACACGACTGAGCGACTGAACTGAACTGAGTTTCTACACAAAAGTCACAGAAAACCTCTGTTAGCCTTTGCCACCCTGTCTGCACTGCAAACCTCATCAGTTCTCTATATACGTGAGGATAGAGACTGAGAGAGAGGGAAGGAGGGAAAGAGAGATAGAAAGAGGCAGGAATTGAAAGAGGGATTGCTTTTTTGAAGCACTGACTTAATTTTCTTCAGTGATATGAATAAATGCCCTTGAGTCAAATTAGAAAATTTCATTTTTAAGAGAGAAGCTCCCCTAGCAAAGGGAGACCTGTAAATATAAGGAGCTGATTCCTACGGTGGGGGAGGGCCTCAGAACAGGGCACATGTGTGGACAGAGCCTGCTTCCCTGTCTGGAGGGCAGCCTTGCCCATGGGAGATGCATAGGATGGGAGGCCTGGTTTTCACCCCCCGACTGGATGACCACAACCAAGTCACTCAGATTCGCTGAACTTCAACATCATTACCTACAAAATAAAGGCACTGGACTGGTCAATCTCTAACCTAACTGACGGGATTCTTTGACTTTCTCCACCACTTCTTCATTCCATCTGATTATTCTTTTACTTCCTGGACACACCAAAGAAAGCAAGTGCCTTTATCAGGTTTCTAATAGCCCTCTGCGTTCGTGCTCAGCCTCTTCAGCCGCATCCGACTCTTTGTGACCCCAGGGACTATAACCCGCATCTGTTCATGGGATTCTCCAGGCAAGAATACTGGAATAGGTTGTTAAATTCCCAACCCAGGAATTTTTACCCACTGAGCCACCTGGGAAGCCCCTAATAGTGCCCTAGGGAGCTGTAATGTTTCTTGAAATTCTATGAGTCTGCAAACAGGACCACACTCCAAGTCTCGTGGACAGCAGGAATCCCCCACTCTCAAGAGCTCGACTTCTGAATCTCTCCATCTGCTGCCTCCTTCCAAGCTTCTCCCATGCCGCTCAACCTCTGCTTCCCTTTCCAGACACCCCCCTGCAACCCCAGTCCCTTGCCTCCTTTCTGGCTGCTTTTGCTGCCCTAGTCCAGCTGGCCAAGACCTTCTCACCAACAGACTGGACCACTGGCTCCCAAAATGAGGCGTACAGACCAATATCAGCATCTCCTAGCAACATGTTAGCAATGCAGACTCATAACCCACATCACACCTGCTGGGTCAGGAGCTCTGGGGAGGACCACAGCCACCTGGGTGTTAATAAGCCTTCCCAGTGATTCTGATACAACAATAATGGAGAACTCCTATCCCAGCCTTATTCAGTCCTTTCATGCCTCCAGAAGACTCTTGAGAAGTTCCTTGGACAGCAAGGAGATCAAACCAGTCAATCCTAGAGGAAGTCAACCCTGAATATTCATTGGAAGGACTGATGCTCCTTGAAGCTAAAGCTCCAATATTTTGGCCACCTGATGTGAAGATCAGACCCACTAGAAAAGACCCTGATGCTGGGAAAAACTGAAGGCAAGGGCGGGGGCGAGTGGCAGAGGATGAGATGGTTAGATAGCACCATCGGCTCAAGGGACATGAATTTGAGCCAACTCTGGGAGACAATGGAGGACAGAGGAGCCTGGCATGCTGCAGTCCACGGGGTCGCAAAGAGTCAGATACAACTTAGAGACTAAACAACAACATCTGACCCAGCTTTGGATAAACTCCACATCCAGGTTAGATTTCATGTCCAAGCAAGGAATACGGTGGAATGAATGGAGATAGGGCTTCCCTGGTGACTCAGGCGGTAAAGAATCTGCCTGCAATGCAGGAGACCCAGGTTCGATCCCTCAGTCAAGAAGATCCCCTGGATAAGGGAATGACAACCCACTTCAGTATTCTTGCCTGGAGCATCCCGTGGACAGAGGAGCCTGGTGGGCTATAGTCCATGGGGTCGCAAAGAATAGGACACGACTGAGTGAGTAACACTTTGACTTTGACTGAATGGAGAAAAGTCCTAGGTTTGGACCTCGTGGCCTGGTTTCCGTGCAGTGCAAAATGAAGGGCAAAACAAGTCAGCAGTAACCTTAACCCCTCCCAAACCCACTTCAATCCTGAATGCATTAAGGCGGGAATCGGCCCGGCACTAATGAGTAGAGACAGCAGGACCAGCCATTTCTGGCCTTCAGGGATGAAGAAGTCCCTGTGCCATGCTTGACAGCTGAAAGTTCCTTCTGCATGTGTCATTTCATCATTTTCTAGAAGGAAGTCACATTTCAGCAGCTTCTCCTTCGGTCAACAGGACCAGGCACCAGGATGGTGGCTCAGTTGGTAAAGAATCTGCCTGCAATGCAGGTGAGAGCTGAGTTCAATCCTGGGAAGTTCCCGTGGAGAAGGAAATGGCAACCCACTTCAGAATCCTTGCCTGGAGAGTCCCATAGACAGAGGATCCTGGCAGGCTACAGTCCATGAGGTTGCCAAGAGTCAGACATAACATGACTGAGCAACTAGCTCACCACCACCTGCCATCCAGAAATGCCCCGTCAACCTGAGCTCGTCCACACCTCCCATCCCTTCACAGGCTCCTGGTCTCCAGGGACCCCGGGTCTCTCTACCTGTGGCCTCGCTTACCTGAGGCGTCACCCCACTCTCTCAGAAACAGGACTCTGATGACGTCAGTGGCGGTGAGCAGCAAGCCGGGGTCACACATCTGCAGCAGCAGGAGCGTGTACTTGGCCTTCGTCTGCTGGCTGCTGTCCTGGAGCCAGTGCAGAGCCCCCCGCATCTTCTGCTCCACCATCTCATCCAGCGTTGGATTCCAGGAGGACCGGATCATCTTGCCCTCCTTCCTGCTCAGGTCGACCCGGGCCCTGTGATAGACCAGATCCTTGCCCTGCATGGTCTGCAGGAGGGTTAGGAAGTAGTGTAACAAGTGCAGGCTGTCCAGTTGCTGCAGGACACTCACCAGGAACCTCCTCTGGAACCCAGCACCCACCCTCCAGAACCACTCTCGCGTGGAGAAGATCTTCCAGGCCAGGACGCACGTCTCACACTTCTGGCACACAGGGACAGAATCATTCCCCTTCTCACAGCGAAAGTACGGGGCATTCTTGAGCCTGGACTCCAGGTTTTCCATGGCCCTGAGAGGACCAGCTCATTTTATCCTTGCCCACCGCCAAACCCCAGACGGACAGGAGATGCTGATGAGTATCCCAGTTGAGCCTTTTCCAATACGAACATCTCCCAAAGAAAAGATACACTGCTGCAACGGGGTGGAGAGCTTCTCCCTCCCAGAAACTGCCAGTTGAGTCTGGCTTTCAGTACTGACCTCCTAGGAAACATGCCTTTACCGTAAATCTCCTAAGCCTGGCACTGCTCAGAGGGAGGCAGTTGCTGTATATTCTGAAAGAGCTGGTCATCTCATTTCTAGAACAACAGGAAGAGAGGTGGTCAAATCTAGATAGTGGATGGACCCGTTTTAAAGAGGAAAATATATGGTGGAGCCTGGTGTTGAGGCTTCCGTTGTTGTTGTGAATGAATATTAAATATTTATGAATATGAAATTAGATGGAGGCTTCTGTGGATGGTTGTTTAGTTAGAATGATCTTGTATATGTTTATAGCTATCTTCTTAACATCAAAGTGAAAACACAAATGCTTAATATATGTTTGCCTGGTAGGCACCAGTCGGACATGACCAAGTGACTAACACTTTCGCTTCAGTTTCATTTCACTTTTCAAGTTACTTAAGTGTTTCAGAATGCTAACCAGGGGACTTCCCTGGCTGTCTAGTGGTTAAGATGCTGCCCCTCCAATACAGAGGGTGTGGGTTCAATCCCTGGTCCGGGAACTACAATCCCACATGTCCAGGAACAACTAAGCCCATGTGCCACAACTACAGAGTCCGTGCACTGGAACGACAAATCCCTGATAACACAAGGAAGATCCTAAGGCCTGCAACCACGACCCAACCACAGCCAAGTAAATACAAATAATACAGTAAATAAATAATAATTAAAAAAAAAATAAAGAATCCTAACTGGAAATCTCCGCATATAAAACTCCGTAGTGAAAAAAATGTCATTGGGCCTAAGCATATATTTGGGGTCTCTTCAAGCCTCAATCACATGCAAACCCCTGGAGTCTAGAGACATCACAGCTGAGCAGAGAAGACTGGGGAGTCTGGGGTCAGACTCCTGGGTTTAGACCCCAGCCCAGCTATTCACGAGGTCTGTGAACACAGGTGCATTACTTAACACTTTATGCCTCATCTGTAAAAAGGAGACAACTGTTCAGTTCAGTCAGTCACTCAGTTGTGTCCGACTCCCTGTAGCCCCATGAACCACAGCATGCCAGGCCTCCCTGTCCATCACAAACACCCGGGATCTACCCAAACCCATGTCCATTGAGTCGGTGAGGCCATTCAACCATCTCATCTTCTGTTATCCTCTTCTCCTCCTGCCCTCAATCTTTCCCAGCATCAGGGTCTTTTCCAATGAGTCAGTTCTTCACATCAGGTGGTCAAGTAATGGAGTTTTAGCTTCAACATCAGTCCTTCCAATGAACACCCAGGACTGATCTCCCTTAGGATGGACTGGTTGGATCTCCTCGTAATCCAAGGGACTCTCAAGAGTCTTCTCCAATACCACAGTTCAAAAACATCAATTCTTTGGTGCTCAGCTTTCTTCACAGTCCAACTCTCACATCCATACATGACCACTGGAAAAACCATAGCCTTGACCAGATGGACCTTTGTTGGCAATGTAATGTCTCTGCTTTTTAATAT